TTTCTACCTGTTTAGGATTCATAGCATCATTTCATTATCCGGGTATTTTGATCATCCTCATTTCCATTCTCATTGCTCTCAAGTAGATTCTGACTCATAGGGACTTGCTATTGGATTTCTGAGGCTGTAAATCGTAATGGGAGACTGGCCATCTTTCTCCCTTGAAGCCATTGGTGAGTATGAAACATGTTCACCTTTAATTCTTGCTTATGCTGTGTTTTTTTGTGCTGTCGAATTTGTACTGACAAGTAGCTGACCCTCCAATGGATTTTAAGAGGCTGAAAATTGCCTGGGAGGTGATTGCTCACCTTTCTCCTGGGCAACTGGTGAATTTAAACCACTTGTCTTTGTGTTGACAACGTAACTCCTTATCTGCTAGGTCACCAGAGCTCTTTTTGTTTGGGAAGGTGTTGGAGGAAGGAGGAAATAATTTATTATCAACAGTCTCTCTCATGGGCAAGGGAAAAGAGAGAGTACAGGAAATTGTGAGTAAATACCAAGGAGTCTGAGTTAATAACAGCTCTGGTTTTGTCTACAATAGTGTGTTGTATTAGCCACAACTCAGGTGGTTTGGATCTACCAGTGTTCTGTGAGATCCTGTTAAGTTTTTCAGCCTCAGAAATCCAATAGAGGGTCACTGTGAGACAGAAGCAACTCTGATGTCCGTGAGTTTGGCTGGTATAATCTATTGAGAACTTCTGTTAAATGTTTTATATATTTTATCTCACATCTAATTGTTTCAACAGCTATGTCAAGTGTAAAGTATTATCCATTTAAAAAAAAAAAGCAAAATCAATCATAAAAATGCAAGACATCTGGATAATAGAGCCAAGAAGTGTCTATTGATTGCAACAATTACCTTCTTAACCCTGTCTTTAGACTGATCCTTGGGAAAGATGAAAAAAGCTTGGCCAGATGTCCTTGTTTTATTTTTCCTTTGTTCTTTTGAGCTTCAGCCACTTAAAATTGTTTCCTTCACCCAAAAGCAGGCCTTCACCCCTGGCTTCATCCCTTCTCTCCTCTGATGATGATTATTTTTACTTTATTTTATTACTTTTTTTTGTGTGTACCATCAAATTGGATCTGACTGGCACAGTAGGAGATTACCCCTCCTTCTCCTGCAGAGCATCTGGTGGATTTGAACCGTGTACCTCTGGGATTGCAGTGCAGCTTCTTGCCACTGGGCCACCAGAGCTCCTTTGATGATGATTCTTGAAATGACTTGGTTAAATGAGAACTCTCTGCCGTTGTGTCAGCTCTGACTCATTACCCTCTTTCAGTTTCCAAGGTTGTAAATTTGTGGAGGAAGATTCCCTATCTTCTGCCGAGCAGCTGGTGGATTTGAACTGCCAACTTTTCAGAAATCACCCCTAAAGCCACCAGAGCTCCTTTGATTTGTTGTAATTGCTTTAAATTCCTCACATGAGCATTTTGCGTGATTTTAAAAATACACATAATGTAGCCTTTCATTATAACCTTCTATACATAAGGCTTTGGATATGATGTGTATAGATATATACATAAGGCTTATAGATATGATGTGCAAGACATTTGGAATTTTAGCTGAGAGCTGGAAAATTCATGTCCAAGTAACACAGAACAAAAGATGTCTGCTGCGGAACATACTGATTTTAGTGAGGGGAGATCGAAACTGTCAACAGCTTCATCTTGCTTGAATCCATAATTAGCAGCAGTTAGGAAATAAGGAGACGTATTGCACTGGGAAAATCTGTAGTTAGGGGCCTCACCAATTATTGAGAAGTAATGATATCAGTTTGAGGACTAAAGTGCATTTGATTCAGGCCATGGTCTTTCTGATTACTTGCTATACATTGAGAGCTGGATAATGAATAAGGATTACAGGAGAAGAATGGATGTCTTTGAGCCATGGTGTTGGAGAAGAGTGCTGAATGTCCCATGGACAGCCAAGAGAACAAACAGATATGTCTTGGAGAGGTTGCAGCCAGTGTGTCCTTTGGAGGCAAATATGGTGAGGCTTCACCTCACACACTTTGGACATGTTGCTAGGAGTAGCTATTCCTTGGAGAGGGACATGGTGCTGGAAAGAGTGGAGGGTCGACGGAGGAGAGGAAGACCCTCAACCAGGTGAATTGAGAGGGTAACTGCTGCAATGGGCTCTTATGTGTCAGGAAGGGTGAGGATGGCACAGGATAGAACAGGGTTCAGATCTTTCGTTCATTGGGTGCTATGAGTCCTACTTGACTAACAACAACAAAAACAGCAAAACCCCCTAGTTTATGGAAAATAATTTATGAAGTAGACAACACACCTCAATTTCAAAATTATTGCATATATGACTGTGATTCAAAGTAAAGTGCCTATTTTGATCTACAAAATGTTCCACAGTTTTATAGTTTAGATGAGAAGTGGTCTTAGTTTGATTTGATATCAAAATAGGCTGAAGGGAAAACATATGTAGGTTCATTCAAACATTCTACCTTTTTCTTAGCAATAAATTTATTACCAATCAATATTACATATAGTATGTTTATATCTATCTATCTATCATCTATCTATCTATCTATCTATCTATCTATCTATCTATCTATCTATCTCACAAACTATGAGATTAACACTTAGGTACTATAGGGTTAAAAAAGTACAGACTTAAACTCTGCTGCTAAAGACAAATAGACTACTTAAAATCATAATGACCAGTAAAGTCTGTATAGAAATAAAGTGTGATTAATTGCATGATTCTAACTGTAGACAATTTCTTAATTTTTATGCAATTGAATTGATACTTATTAAGCATTGACTATGTGCCTTACACAGGGTCACTTATGAGTTGCAGATGTCTCGATGGCACATAACAGCAACAACGACAACAACAACAACAACAACAACAACAACAGCAACATATGCCTAGTATGAGGTTACAGAGATAAATAAGCTTAGCAAGGAAGATGTAAGTAATTATAATAAAATATGCTAAATACTGCAGCAAAAAGATAAAAAGTGTGGATAAAAGTTAGAAAGCCAAAGTGTGTATACTAAGTACACTTTTCTAAACTCTTCTTTCCTATTTCATCTTTCCTACTTTAGACACGTATGAAGTATGAAAGCTTTGTCTTTCATATGTTAGACATGTAATGGGAGATGGTATTCCTTGGAAAAGGATATTATGCCTAGAAAAATAGGGGACAGAAAAACCCCCAATGAGATGGATTGACATGGTGACTTTAACAATGGGCTCTAGAGTGTCAGTGATGATGAGGATGAGACAGGAGAGGGCAGGGTTCAGGTCGGCTGTTTGTAGGGTCTCTGTGAGTTGTATTTGACTCCACAGCACCTAACAGCAATAACAGCAAAACTCTACCCATTGTCACATTCATTCTAACTCATAATGACCTTCCTTCACTTTTCCGAGACCATAAACCTTTATGAGTGGAGACTGTTCATCTTTCTCTGGTGGTGTGTCAGTGGATTGGAACTGTTGACAATCCAGTTAGCAGCCCGACACTTAGAACACTACACTGAATCACATACAGAGAATGCTCTTTTAAAGAATAGTACATTCTTCAAGGTACAAAGTTCAGAATGGCTACAGTAGAGATAGGTTCCATGGAGAGTGATGGCAAATGACGCTGGAAAGATTGACAAGGTCTAGTTTTTGGTGGGCCATTTATGCCACGACAAAGACATTGGACTTGCAGGCAATGGAAAACCACAGAAGGATTTTAAGTCCATATATGAGTATATCAGATTTACATTTTAGAATTATAATATAAATATAATATTATTGGAAAACACTGATGGCCTAGTGGTAAGAAGCTGCACTGCAATCCTGAAGGCATGAGGTTCGAATCCACTAGCTGTCTACTAGAGAAGGATGAACAATCTCTGTAAAATTTACTGTCTCTGCAAATCTGCTGGAGGGTCAGCTATGGTTGGTTCTGACTTGAAGGCACAAAACAACAACATTCATTGAGAGTTTACTATGAGCTGAACACTGTGCGCTTTGTTGCATTTAAAAGACATTTTACTTAACCCAGTTTTCAGAGGTGAGAATGGAGATAAAGGAATTGGGGTTGAAATAACCATGAAAAGCTTCCTGTATGATGGATAAAGGTAAAGAGCTCCTTGAATAGGACTGGGATTCAGTCTTGTTTATTGGCAGGTAGGATTGATTCTCTCATCTCAACACAGAAAGTGCTTGCCAATAACTAGCAAACTATAAAATAGACGCTATGAATCCAATATGTTATATTTAAATAATTATTTAGCAGTGAGCTATATACCTTGAACAGCCTCCAGATAGCCATTTCACTTCTCAGGCATCGACATTTCTGCAACACATTGGTAAGAGTTCATTAAGCTGTGGATTAGTTAAAACCATAGACCCTGAGAGAACTTAACTTACATAGTTTAAATAAAGTAAATATCAAAGAGGCTCATTGGAAAGGGAAAAATATGAATGAGAATAGAACACCTAAGGGAGAAATGGAGGAAACAAGGGACTCAGAAACAAAGGATCACTTGAGAATTTCTAAGACAAGCACGACGAGAAGGCATTGAAAATGGAAGAAATGTTAACAATCAAAATAGTAGTTATAGGTGCTCCAAATGGTAATTATGATCTTTTTTTCATCATAGTGCACTTGAAATAGCAAATGAATTAAAATGATCTGACTCTAGCCCTGGGCCAAATCAGACCTTATTAGGAGACTTGGATAATTCACAACTTCTATGAGCTTCATTTTATTTATTGATTTTTTAGATACTGTGGAGCTCATGCAAGGTTGAGTTTTTGCAAGGTTGTATGAATAGTGTCTTATATAAAGAAGAGTTTTAGGCACCACATGAATTTACTGCATGACCAAATACATATATACAAGGGTACACCAAAAGAGAATATGTGTGAAGAAGGTGTATAAACCACTAAGTGTTAAACAAACGTGTGAGACTGAGGTAATGATAATTGCATTTGTTTTGTCAAAGGGCTCTGCTTTGAGATTCGTCTTCCCCAGATGGAGCCAATGGCTGGTGCAAATAACGTGACTGAGTTAATTCTCACGGGCCTTTTCCAGGATCCAGAGGTTCAGAGAGTGTGCTTCGTGGTGTTTCTTCCTGTGTACCTGGCCACGGTGGTGGGCAACGGCCTCATCATGGTGACGGTCAGTGCCAGCAAGAGCCTGCGGTCCCCCATGTACTTCTTCCTTAGCTACCTGTCCCTGGTGGAGATCAGTTACTCTTCCACCGTGGTCCCTAAATTTATCGCCGACTTACTCACCAAGATAAAAACCATCTCCTTGGAAGGCTGCCTGGCTCAGATCTTCTTCTTCCACTTCCTTGGGGTCACTGAGATCTTTTTGCTTGTGGTGATGGCTTACGACCGCTATGTGGCCATCTGCAAACCTCTCCATTACATGACCATCATGAGCCGTCGACTGTGTCACGCACTAGTGGCTAGTTCCTGGCTGGGAGGTTTTTTACACTCCATAATTCAGATTCTTATCACCATTCAGTTGCCTTTCTGTGGCCCCAATGTAATTGACCACTACTTTTGTGACCTCCAGCCATTATTCAAGCTTGCTTGTACTGATACTTTCGTGGAGGGGGTGAGCGTGCTGGCCATCAGTGGCTTAATCACCTTATGCTCCTTCCTCATCTTGGTGTCCTCCTATATCGTCATCCTGGTGCACCTAAGGAACCATTCTGCAGAAGGAAGGCGCAAAGCCCTTTCTACCTGTGCCTCTCATATCACAGTGGTCCTCTTGTTCTTCGGACCTGCCATCTTCCTCTACATGAGACCCTCTTCCACCTTCACTGCAGATAAACTGGTGGCTGTGTTCTACACAGTTGTCACTCCCATGCTGAACCCCGTTATCTACACCCTCAGAAATAAAGAGGTGAAAGTGGCCATGAGGAGGTTGTGGGGCAATAAGAAGAACTCAGGGGTGGATTGAAAGGATAAAGGTATAAATATGTTGTACCAGTCTATGCATTTGAAATGAATTTGGATTTTAGTAGGACATTCGAAATGGGGTTGGATAAATAAAGACTTAGTGATAATACAGCTGTGATTTCCCTCAGTAACTAAAGACTCTGCCTCTTGGTGTGAAAGACAGAGGTCAGAGGTCAGATTGCCTTTTTGAATCTTAGAAAACTTGAAGAATTCCATGACAGCTACCTATATCATGGACCTGGAAAATATGATATGAAAATGTAATCATATACAAAGGATATAATTTTTACAAATTATTTTATAGGTTTTTTCTCCTGTAACCATGGTCATATGAGATACTTTATAATGGTATTTATGTTTAATTGTAATTATTTTCTGTTTGTTTTTCTCTTATTAGACAAAAAATACTTAGTTATAACAGTCCTTTCTTCTTTGCACATAGTTGGTGCTTTAGAAATGCTTGTTGAATAAACAATCCTCTAGAATCTGAGTGGCAATCTCTTTTATTTAAAATCTTACCGATTTTTTTTGGAGAAAGACCTTTCATGGTGGAGTGAACATCTCTTTGGTTACAATCTTGCAAGCTCAGCCTTTGCATTTTATGAAGTTGTTCTGATTTTCTCTCAGCCACACATGATGTCCAAATAGTTTCTCTGAATAACCGTGTTCTCACAAATAATAAGATTAACAATAGTGTGACCCTCAGAAGACTGTTTTCGCTATTATATATAAAACTTTTAGCAACAACTTGATTAATTTGTTACACACTCAAGAAATAGAAAGAGGTTTCATTTTATAAGAAACACAGGCTTCACTCTCTTTGGCATGTACTGTAACCTCATGGCCCCCAAAGCTACTCTACACCAGACGTGTTTAGTAGAACTTAAAGAAATGATGATATTTTATATCTGTGCCTTCAATATGATAGTGACTGCTGAACACGTAAAATGTAGGTAGTTTGACCAAAGAATTAAATTTTAAATCTTCCTTAATTTCAATGAATTTAAATTTAATAGTCACATATGGCTGGTGGATGTTGTATTGGACATGAGCAGGTTTTTTTTTTTTTTCTTTAATTTTTTTTTTTGAGTGTGCCATCAAATCGATCTGACTGGTATAGGAGGAGATTGTCTCTCCTTCTCCAGCAGAGCATCTGGTGGATTCGAACTGTGTACCTCTGGGATTGCAGTGCAGCTTCTTGCCACTAGGCCACCAGAGCTCCCTCAACTTTTTTAAAATTAGAGATTTAAAAAAAAAATGACTTGCCAATGAGTAATTATGATTGAAGTCAGAAACTTCTCCAATTATTGAGGAGTGAAGAGGTCAGTTTGAGGAATAAGGTGCACCTGATTCAGGCCATGATCTTTTCAGTCACTTGCTATGCATCTGAGAGCTGGACAATGAAAAAAGATGACAGATGAGCTGATGCCTTTGAACTATAATGATGTAGATGAGTACTGAATATCCCACGGACTGCCAAAAGAACAGACAGACATGTTTTAGAGAAGGTGCAGCCAGAATGCTCCTTGGAGGCAGAGATGATAAAGCCTCATTTCAAATACTTTAGACACATTGCTAGGAGAAGCTATTCCTTGGAGATGGACATCATGCTTAGAAAGGTAAAGGGATGATGGAGAGGAAGACCTTCCACCAGGAGAACTGACACAGTGAATGCAGCAATGGGGTGTGTCAGAAGTTGTGAGGATGGCACAGGACAGGACAGGGTTCGAGTCTATTGTTTGGAGGGTCACTATGAGTCATACTTACGTTGACTGCACTTAAGAACAATAATAACAGTGATGCGGTGGATTAAGCATTGCACCACTAACCAAACTGTTGCTGGCTTGAACCCATCATCCATCCCTCAGGAAAAAGATGAGGCCGTCTGCTCCCATGAACCTTTATGGTCTATGACTCCTTGGTGAAGTTCTACTCTGTCCTATTTTGTCTCTAAGAATTTTAATTTACTTGATAACAGTGAGTTTATTCATTTTTAATTTTAGTGTTCAAGTCTGGCAAAAGTTTTTGTATCTTACCTCCACCTTTCTTGTTAGGAGCCATTGAATACGACTTATAGAAACCTGATTAACAGCAAATCTGAACCCCATCCTACCATGTGCCATCCCCACAATCTCTGACACATTCAAGCCTTTTGCTGCAGTCACTGTGTCAATCCACCTGGTTGAGGGTCTTCCTTTCTTTCGCTGTTCCTGCACCTTTCCAAGCATGATGTCCCTTTCCAAGGAATAGGCTTTCTTAGCAACATGATTAAATTATGGGAGATGAAGCTTTATCATCTCTGCCTCCAAGAAGCACTGTAGTTGCACCTTCTCCATGATAAATTTGTTTATTCTTTTGGCAGTCCATGGTATATTCAATATTATTCTCCAGCACCACAGTTCAAGGGCGTCAATTTATTGTTTGTCATCCCTATTCACTGACCAGCTCTCAGTAGCATAGCAAGTGATTGAAAAGACCATGGCCTGAATCAGGTGGACCTTAGTAATCAAACTAACATCATTGCTTTTCAATAATTTGGAGAGATCCTTGACTGCAGACTTTGCCAGCATAATACGTCTCCTAATCTCCTGCTTGCTAGTACCAAGTATGTTGATTGTGGATCTAACTAAGATGAAGTTGTTGG